AATAACAACTCAACCAAGTCCTCATCTCACCACCATAGTTGAGTCCTCATTATCTCCAATGTGTACTACGGCAATAATCACCCTTACTGAGTCCCCACTTTGTCCAACTTGCAATTGCCCTTCACCAGATTCATCTCCCTACTGCAAAGCTCTGGTCATATTTCTGCTTTCCTCAAAAATTGTCAGTGACTTCCCAGTGTCTGTGGCAGAGATCCCCAATGTTTGTCAGACCCCGAACCCCTTGGATGTTAGTGAACTTTCCCTGAAAGTTCCCTGAAACAAATCCCAGAGTTCACCATGCCTATGTACAGAAGAAATAGAGAGATTAATTAATTTCCACAAGATAGTATAGTTATTTACCAAATATTCCCCTTTCCACTTGACAAACTCCTACCTCCTGGGGTACACATACCCTTCCTTATAAGAGGAAGTTCATACCCACCTTACATTCAAGAGCCTCCATAATGTGGTCTCAGCCTAATTTTTTTCAGGCTGATTGGCTGAAACAACTCCCCTGCATGATAGAGTGAAATAATGTATGTAAGGTACTTTGTAAATCTTAAAATTCCATAGAAACATATTATTATTAATTTCAGTAACTATTGAACTGGCACAGATGTTTAAGTGGCTGCTACCAGTCCCTGGTACTATGGAAGGTATTAGAGACACACAGAAAAAAATTAATTAGTTGCCATCCTCAGAAAGCATGAAAAGTACCTCTCCTCATTGTCTCAAGAACCATTGCTAGGATTTTTTGGCATCTGAGACAAATGCCACAGTCTACACCTGGGGTGGGTGGCACAAATGTGCCTTTGGGTGATTTTGGTGGTGGTGGTAAGGAAATAGAACCCTGAGGACACTGATATTAGGCTAGTCCTACACAGGAGACAAGGTAGGTGCCTGCTCCAGTTTATATCTGATAGCTTCCTATTTTTGATAATTATTCTTGGTAGTTAGGTGCTAATTTCTTCCTATACCACTGAAGATTACAAGTGTAGTCACTGCCTTCAAGGTTAGTACCCTTTAAATTTAACACTCTGGGACAAAGCCCCAGTCATCTTGTCCTAGTTATACCTCTGTTACCCAAATGTACCTTTAGCTTTTTAGAACTCAAAATCTTTGCAAGTGAATGTTGAAAACTAAAAATAATTAATTAATAAAAAAATTTTAAAAAAAGAAAGAAAGATGGCTCCAAGTCACCAATAATACAGGAAATGCTGATGAAAACAAATCTGCGGTGCCACCTCACACCCAGAAAATTGGGGAAGATGATGAAAAAAAAGTGCCCTGTCTGTGTTGTAGGGGCTTTGGGAAGACATTAACGCTGCATTAGTGGTGATACAAATTGTTCTGATGAGTTTGTAAAACAAGTAAAAGAAGTTGAGAAAAGTCCCTAAACTCTGAATATCCTTGACCTACTGCTGGGGGAGCCATGACCCAGAGGTCCCATGTATAACATGGTGGTCATTGCAGCGTTTTTCTTGTTCTTCTCTTTTTTTTTTTTTTTTGTGGTAGCAAAAAACTGGAAACAAAACATGAGTCTGTTGATTGTTAAATAGTTGACCAGCTCGTGGGACAGGAATGTAACAGGATGTTTCCATGCTATAAGGAATAAAGAGAAGAATGGGAAGACTTGTATGAAGTGATGCAGTGAGAAGAAAGAAGAACCAGAAGAATAATGTATGCACTGCGTGCTATGATATGAACAGTGAAAAGTCATTGAATTCTTTGGTACACACTATAAGCTCCCTGAGGTCAGGACCACGGGAGCTGTTTTACTCCTAGTGCTGAGCACAGGACCTGGCACACAACAGGCATGCAAATGTTTGTTTTTTTTTTGATTGACAGATTGATAGGAAGCTTTTTCTTACACCAAAACTACTCCCTGTGACTAATTTTGTCCCCCAGGGCCAAGCAAAACAAGTCTAGACCCTTGATAGTTCTTGGAACACTTGAAAACAAACTATTGTATCTTCTGTCTCGGCACCCTTTCCTTCAGGCTAAATTCCTTGATTCAGTGCCACAGAATCAGAGAATTTCAAAACTGGGGGGGTCTTCGGCAGGCATGGAGTCCAACTGGACATAGAAGGAAGCCACCCTGGCAAAGGTCATACGGTCTCTACTTGGACACCGCTAAGGGGAGGGAGCCAGTGAGAGGCTGCCCATTCTGCTTTTGGATAGCGTTAATGCATAGGGAGTTTTCCCTGAATTTAGGCTAAAAATGCCGCTGTGAGATGTACTACTTCTGGTTCTGCCCCCTGGCACCCAACAAAATATTGTGACTCTTTTTTCTTTTTCTTTTCCCCACATGACAGACAGCCCTTTAAATACTACTCGGTCCCCTCCTACTTTTCTCTAGGCTACATGCTATTCCCAGTTCCTTCATATGCCCTGGGCTCAAGGTGCTTCACTGAGCTGGTTGCCTTTCTCTGGACACTCCCCAGCTTACCGGAGTCATTTTTAAACTCTGCTGCTGGCACTTACCAAGGCAGAGGGATGTCCCTAGTCCTGGAGGCAGGAATCACACCTGTGACATTACCACCTGTGTGACTCTACCTCAGTTCCTCTCTGAGCCTCAGCTGACTCCTCTGTAAGGTGATGTGGTTCCCTGAGGTCACTTTTGGTTAAAGGGTGATGAGCCCACAATCCTTCTCATTGCTGCCCAAGATGAGACGAACTTTTGTGGCTGCCCCAACACACAGAGCTGTTGAAATCCCAGATCCTACCCAAATATCTGAACACCCGCCTTGGCCTCCTTCAGAAGCCTCCCTCACAGGAAGGCGCTGAAGTAGGACATCTTCACGGAATGCCGGATTGCAAAGATGGATTTTATGGCACATTTGACAGACAGTATCTCAGGTGAGCCTCACAACAACCCTGTGAGGTAGGTGCTACAGGTATTATTGTCTCCACTTGATAGCTGAGAAAACTCAGGGCCATATGGCTGGAGGGATCAGGCAGAATTGGAACTCGGGTCTTCCTGACTCCAAGCCCAGCGCTCTTTCTACAATCCGATTCTGTGACATCTTTTCCTCTAAAGAGAAAGGACAGATCAGGAGCCAGAAAATCTGGCTTCTCTGAACCTCGGTTTCCTCATTTGTATATTGGGGACAACACCTCCTTTTTGAGGAGCCTGTAAACTTCAGTCCCACGAGATAACAGCTGCTGAAGTCCCGTTGGCCCTGAATGGCCACCCTGCCCTGGCTCCGTCCTATGCTCCTTGGCAGCCTGGGCCACTTAATTACGTGGGCTCTGACCTAGATCTTGTCTCATAGGCTTCTTCCAGTCTCTGCTTTCCTTGAGACCTTATGGAGGGTTCTCTTCAGAGCATAGTTGTGCTTCTCCAGCCGCACAGCAGACCGCTCCATCTCCTTGTGCTCTCTCTCCAGGCGACTCAGAGCTCTCTGCAAAGTGGAGATTTTCTCTTTCAGGGCGTGATTCTCCCTCTGGAACTTCTGGGCCGAGGCTATGGCCTCCTCCTTGCTTTGTCGCTGTCTGTGCACAATCTGGGGCAGAGAAGAGAGAAATGGCAGCATGGATCCTCTGGGAAGGACCCATCCCATCTGGCCTCTCCTGTGGGACCATGGACAGGGTACCTTCACCTTCTTTTTACACCAGCACTTAGTACAATGGCTGGTACACAGCAGGTGTCTAATACATGCTTGTTGTTGCTGTTGATGATGACAGCCTCAGTTGGGCCTCAGTTTTCTGTAAAATGCAGTGGTTGGATTGGACGACCTGAAAGATCCTTTCAGCTACAAATCTACGATCTTAGGAAAGCAGTGAGAAAGCTGCAGGGATTTTTGGCCGGTAGTTTTTTGACCCTGTGAGGTACATGTTGCAATTGTCCCCATTTTATGGATGAGGAAACTGAGGCTCAAAAACTTAAAGTGACTTGCCCAAGATTGTCTGAGGCTGGATTTGAACACAGCTTCCTGAGTCTAGGCCTGGCTCTAACCACTGTACCACCCAGCTGATAGTGTATTAACTTGTTAGTCATTGGGCAAAGTTGTCATGCTTAGAGTAGCAACAAATTGATAGTCTAAAAAATATGTGAGTTATAGGATCATAGATTTCCAGCTGAAAAGGATCTTCGATGCCAGCAAGTCCAAGGTCCTTCATGTTACAGACTGGGAAACTAAGACATAAAGAGGTTAGATGATTTGCCCAGGGTCTCACGGCAAAGACATCTGAGGCAGGAATAAAACTCAGGTCTTCCTGACTCTAAATCACCCCCCCCCCCATTCATTAGATCAAAGCTCTTGCCCACCCGTTCTAGCTAATGTTCTAGAGCTCTCCTTCTAGGTCTTTTAATTTTTTGTGAGTTCCTGCATAGCGCTCCTGTCCACCTGTTATGTCTCTGTCATTGGATCATTCATTTAGAGGGGGAAGTGGTCTGAGAGGCCACTGATTTCAGTCACCCCATCTTATGGCTCAGGGAAGGTGACTGACTTACCTACAGTCACACTTAGTATCAAAGGCTGGATTTGTACCTAGGTCTTCTGATTCTGGGTCCAATATCCTTTCCTCTGCACCAGAATGTGACATGATCCACCTTCTCTTCCAGGGATTTGTGGCATGGATGGGGTTTTATTTGGCCACTTGCCACACAAAGACTTTCACTTGTAATACCTCATAGCCCCTTTCTACTCACTATGCCCTGCTGCCCCAGGGCCACAGACAATTCAAGTTCTTCTCAGATAATGGAGTTCCATGATACTCAAACATGCCGTCTCACAGAGTGCCGTTTTGCTCAGCATTATATTTGACAAAAATGAATATTGCAACCATAGCTGTGATTCCTGATTTAGATAAGTAGTCTTTGGAGATTAGGACTTCTACCCTTGTATGTATGTCTGAGATCTTGGAAATAATGCAACCAAAATGAACGGTTTGTGGAGGTCTCCAGTGGAGTGCCTCAGGGATTCCATACTATTTAACATTTCTATCAGTGTCTTGGATGAAAGGGTAGTTGGCATGCTCATCACATTTGCAGATGATGCAAAGCTAGGAGGGACAGCCAATGCCATAGATGATGGTCAGAATGCAAAGGGATTTCATTGGACTAGAATCCCAATGGGCCATGGTAGGCAAGATGAAATTTAAGAGAGGATAAATCCAGCTGCCATGATGCTAAGAGGGAGAAGCAGGGTCTCCTTTCCCCTTTCCTCTTTCCCTCCTGCCCATCCTGTTGCTTCCCCTCTCACCCTGTGCCCTTTTCCTGTGCTGTTCTTTGACTCAATCTTCTTTCTTCTTCTCCCCTCCTTACCTCCTGCAGATGCTCCAGCTGCCCTTCCAGGTCCTGGCACCTCATCTCCAGCTGGGCCAGCTGGCTCTCCAGGCGCTTCCCTCTTTCTGCCAGGCTATGGCTGTGTCTCTTGCTGTCACACAGAGCCTGGCGGGCAGAGTCCAGATGCTCCTGCAGAGGAAATCAATGTAAATGTCATAATTGTACTTCAGCTTACAACAAATCTGGCTCTTGGGAACATGGGAAGATGAAATTGTGTGGAGATGATGACTTCCCTTTGCCCTCAGACCTCAGATCTCCAGGGGTTTGCATGCCAGGCGGCTTGGTGAATAGAATGCTAGCTCAGAGTCCAGCTTCAATCCTGTCTCAGGCACCTAGTAGTTGAGAAGCCAAGTTGACAAATATTTTTCAGGCACCCTCAATGTGCCAAGCACTATGCTAAGGGCTGGGTATACCATGAAAGGCAAACCACAGTCAGTTTCCCTCTTGGACCTCACAGTCTGGTCTCTTAAACTCTCTTGGCCTCTGTTTCCTCATCTTTAAAATGAGGGGGTTGGATTCTATCCCACAGAAGTCCTATCCAGTTCAGACTCTTTAGAAATGGCATAATGATGAGGGGGATGGCGTCAGAGAAAACTTGGAAGAGTTGTATGAACTGATGTGAGCAGAACCAGGAGGACAATTTCTACAATGACAACAATATTGTAAAGATAAACAACTTTGAAAGACTTGGGAGCTCTGATAAACACAATTACCAATCACAATTCCAGAGGGCTCATGATGGAATATGCCACCTAACCGCTGATAGAAAGTGATGGATTCAGAGGCAGATTGAGACATAGATTTTTTTGGACATGGCCAATGTGGGGACTGGTTTTGCTTGATTATAGACATGATTACATCAAGGGCTTTGTTTTTCTTTTCTTCTCAATGGGGGTGAGAGTGGGGAAGCGGGAGGGAGAGAAAGTGAAGCTTCATTTGAATATAAAAAAATTTAATATAAAAAACAATGGAATAATGATTTCTAAATATTGATGCCCAATATCCTTGAATCTTAATGCTGAACTTTTGGCCATCCCAATGCCCTGGGTTGGGGGGAAGGGCAAAAAAATGCAAGCAAATCAAAGCTCAGTCCATTAAGACGTTTTATAATGTAATGATTTGCCCAAGTTGAGGAAACCACGCACTGGGCTGGAAACATCATCTAGTTAAGGCTGAATGGCTCTTCAGAATAGGTTTTGTGTTATGTACAAGGGAGGCATGGGGGGTCATGGACACACACGTACATTTAGGCAGAATGGGCTGACATTGACATTTGGGGCATCCTCTTTAATATCAAGATTTGAAATATGAGTAGAAACTTGTGGCTCTGGATGGCGGTCACCCAGTCCTGGTGGAGGCCCTAGGTTAAAGGTCCTTGAGGACAGGACTATTTAATTTTTGACGTTGCATCCCTAGCTCTTAAGAGCTAGGTGCCAGCACATAAGAGGGGCTAAATTAATGCTTATTGATGAGCTGAGTGATTATATAGATATATGTATGTATATGTACGATACTAGCATGTGTAGAGTACTTTAAGATTCGCAAAGCACCATACTCATGTTATCTTACTTCAGCCTCATAACAATCCTGGAAAGTGTTGCTGCATGAATGAAAGCATTTCTTATATTTCTGGACATTAATAACAGGACACCCAAACTTTTTTGGGGGCAGCTAGGTAGCACAATGGATACAGCACTGGCCCTGGAGTCAGGAGGACTTGCGTTCAAATCTGGCCTCAGACATTTGACGTTTACTAGCTGCGTGACCCCGGACAAGTCACTTAACCCCATTGCCTAGCCAAAAAAAAAAACCCCCAAAAACCAAAAACCAAAACAAACTGTTTGGTTCATGTGCCACTGAAAGTAAAAAAAAAAATCTGGCAATTTATCCCCAATGTTGTCTAGTGATTTTATGATCAAATATTATTTCATCTTTATCTCATCTTTTTTATGACTATTTTCTATATGTTTTGTAATATATTGAATAATAATAATTAATAATAATAATTTGCATTCCTATGGTGCTTTAAGTTTTGCAAAGCACTTTTTATGAGTTTTCTCATTTGTTCCTCACAACAACCTGGGAGGCATTGGTCTGGGACCCTTGGGTAATGAGTGTTTGAATGAATGAATGAATGAGGGGGTGAAAAACAAGTATGAAGTGCTTACTATGTGCTAAGAGCTTCACTAAGCACTGGGAACACAGTTTCTGTCTTCAGGGAGCATTCATTCTAGAGAAGATGATAACATATATGAAAATAATCTATCATGGGCTTGCCATGTGGCAGGTGATGAAAAAGAAGCAGGAGAGATGTGAGTTGTCAAGGGGCAAGTGCGCTGGGGTTTGACATGCATGTTCTTTATATATGTGCCCATCTGGATACATGTCCTGGCCACACATGCTTCCAACATAACTACTGTCCACATCTATTCCCTAAACACATATGTTCCCTACATGTGTGCCTCTCCCATGTGACATCTGGTTTCTCTCTTCTCACTGATGGTGCATCTATTTGTAGAAGAGGTTGATGCAGGTTCATAGAGGAAATACTCTATCGTCACTTCTCTTACTATGACTTTTCATTTAATACCTTTTCTTTGAATTAATTGTGTTCTCTGACTAGTCAGCAAAAGTAAACACACTGGTGGAGGCTCTTGATCTATGGGTTTGAGTAGATGTTGACCTATAGGGTATCTTAAATCTGAAGTAGCATTTCTGGGATTCTTAAGTTATGAAGCCAGTGATTTACATAGGGAATCATTTCAGAAAGAGCCATCTGTGTGCACTCCTACAGTTAACTTAGTGGAGATGAGAAGACATTGAATGCCACCACATCTTCTACCTGATCTTCTTAAACAGGGCGTTTCCTGAAAAGCAGGAAATGGATGAACATACAGACATTGACTCTGATTATCACCATTCCTCGGAGAAGGGGAATGGACACTGAAAAAAAATGACCATAACAAAGAGCCCCAAGGAGTGCAGAAGCTGCCCTGGCCAGCAAATCCTTGTCCTCACAGGGCAGAGACCCAGCTGCCCAGGCAACATCAGCTCAAACTATCTCTTTTTTTCCAGAGCAGGATAGAAGAGGATGAGAGATTGCAAATCATCTTCGTCACAGAGCGATGGAGAACCAGGGCAGGACGTAGAACGGTCCCAGCCCTGCCACTAACTAGATGTGGAGCTATGTCATCTGCCTTCTCTGAACCTCAGTCTCCACATCAGAAATGTGAGGGAGCTGGATAAGATGCCATCTCCTACCATAGAGGCATGGTCTGCATGCCCTGCTGATAACTCTGAAGACGGGACAGAGGGAGAGAGAGGCCGCTATGGTGGCGGTGATGGGGTGTGTGCTCATTGTCCCTCTCTCCAGCCTCTTCTCTTTGGCCCCCCCTTCCTCCTCCTCCTCCTCCTCTGTGGTTGAGGAAGGGTAGGGTTAGAAGGCTGGGGGTGGGGGAGGGCAGGGCGTCAAGATTTAATGAAGAGATGAAGTGATCTGGAGAAACTGGATCAGACTAGTCTGAAGGGGGAAACTGGTTGATTTGGGGAAAACTGAGGTCACGCCTTTGGCACAGGCTCTGGTCACACAAACCTGGCGTGTATAATCTTTCGTGCCCCGGAGGGCAATGAAGTCAATCCACACCATTCTCTGTCCTCGGCTAAGTAACACCAGGTGCTCTGGGCTTTCGGCTGAAGGCAGCAAACATTTATTGCCGAGAGTGCGGGATCGTAGCTCGCTCTCATGTGTCACCTTCTTAATAAGCAAGGTAGAGGGGGGTGCGATGGCACGAGCTCTTTCGGGGCCGTGGGAGTCCGTGGCTCCCATTGCCATCTGCTCACTACTGGGAGAGCGAGTGAGTCATGTGGCTTTTTGAGGTCTAGGTTATCTCATCCAGAGAACAGGGAGAACGTTTCCTTGAGAAGCAAAGCGACACGGAAGAGAGATGGCTGGCCTTGTAGCCGGGAACACGGGTTCAAGCCGTGTCTCTGATACGTCATAGTGACAGCTTAGATTTAGAGCCCAGGGAGGAAATATCGCCGGTCTCGCAGAGGAGCGGGGCTCTGATCTCCCCTCTGACTATTTGTACTTGGGTTGCCTTCCTGAGCCTCAGTTTCCTCCCCTTCAATGGGAGGGGGAGGGACTGGGTGATACCCTCTGATGACCCTTCCAGAACTATGATACTGTGATGTATCACTTTAAGGGACAGAAGCTCATGGCTCAGATGGGGACATTGAGAGTCAAAAAGTGGGAGGGATTTTTCCAGGTAACTGAGGCAGGATTCGAATCCAGGTCTTCCTGGCTTTCGGTCCACCACACTCTGCCCTGGGCTGCACTGGCTCTCAGACAATGCCTAACATACTAGCTGCTCTGCCCGTCACCTTCGGGCCATAGGCAGCTGTCCAGGTTCTGGATGGGCGCTGACCCGCCTGGAGGTCCAAACCCCAAATGTACGTAAGTATGGGCATTGGGTCCACATCTCAGTGTTGATACAGTCTGTCCATCCTGTGGGATATGTATACATATATGCACACACGTCTACCATGTGATTATGCAAACGTGTCACACCGGCTCTCTGAAGTGTCACACTGACCCAGAGTTCACATTCTATGATTCTGTGAAAAACAGTCAAGAAAGTGTCTTTTGCGGCCTTTCCACTCCCCTTTTTTGATCCCCTTGTCTAACTTTCCTGGTCTCCAGGTACCTAGCACCCGTCAAGTTGCCCTTTCCCCATCCATCTCCAGTCCACTCAGATCTGCCAGTATTTCTCTTCCCTCCAAGTCAAACAATTCTCCCCTAAAAGACTAGAATCTTCTCATGGGGCATTTTAGATGATTCTAGATGAGGGTAAATGTTTGGTAATGGGAGGAGGGATTGGAGATTGATCTTCCCACTCCCACCCGCAGCCCCAGTCCCAATCAGCTGTGAGGCATCACTTAATTATAGCATTAGCCTAGAGAAGAAAAACACAGGAGAGAAAAAATATAAAGGTCTGGCACTGGATTTCTATTGTGTGGATTCACAGAACTAGGTAGAAGTTACAGAGAGGCAGATTTGGTATTAATAAAAGAAGAAAACTTCCTAACAGCCAGAGCTGTCCCTAAGTGGAATTGGTGCTTTAGGATATAGTGAATTGCTTATTACTGGATACCTTCAAGTGGGACTGGATGGCCCCTCCTCAGGTATACTGGTCAGTCATGAGTTAAATTAGATGGCCTCTGAAGTGCCTTTCACTTCTGAGAGTCAGTGACTCCCGAAATCTCTGATTCCAAGAGTCTCTAACTGTGATTCTAATTCTGAGGTTCTGTAATGCCCTGGTTGGGAGGCACCATCCTTCTGCAAACCTGGGATTCTTTGTATCTACTCTTAAGGTATCTGGGCCATGTTTCTGAAGTCTCTGTTTCTGAGAGTTTGGTATTCCAAGTCCTAACACTTTGGTATTCTGAGATTCCCCCTGACCCCCCACTCTTCGAGATCTTGTGATTCTGAAATCTTAGAATGTGGTGTTCTGTGATTTGGAGATTCTGGGGTTCCGATTCTGGGGTGATTCTGAGATTTCATGACTGGTTCTGGGATCCTGTGGGAGAATTCTGGGATTCTTGATTCCCAAGGTTCTGTGATGCTTGGAATTTGCGTTTTGGGGTTGTGATTCAGAGATAGGGTCAGAGATGATTCTGACAGTAACATTTGGAGATGTGGTATCATCTGGCTTTTAGATTTTGGGATTCTGAAATACTTGGGATTCTTTTGCTTCTGTGGTCCCGGGATTCTGATTTGGAGATCATGTTTCTCCATAGCTCAATGATTCTCATTCTTGAGATGCTGAGAGCCTGGGAGCGTGAGATCCTGGGGTTTGGAGACTATAATTTGAAGATTTATTCTGAGACTCTGGGATTCTGCTTTTAAAGTTCTGGGACCCGAATGAATTAAAGAGCAAGGCCTCCAGGAGCACACCATCCAGCCGACCTCCTTCAGCTCCTTTGCAAGCTTTTGTGTCTGTCTGGCTTGGGAAAGCAAAGACTGGAGCTGGTCAGGGATGCCTTCCATATTGTCTCATTTTTGTTCGGCAGTGGCTTGATTGTTGTTTTCTGTACCTGACCTTTCACCTCCAGTCTCTGAGACTTTGCATGTGTGGTCCTCCAGGTCCACACTGTGCTCCTTACTTACCACCACCTTGGAGGAGCCCTCACTTCCTTCAGAGCAGAGCTCAGGCTCCCTGTCTGTATAGAGAAGGACTTTCCACCTCCTAGTATTATCTTCCTCTCCTTCCCCAAGCTGCTCTGGATATATTTTATTCTTTTTCTTTACTTCTCCAGATACATGTGGCACCCCTCCCCTCAGTAGAACATAAGCTCCTTGAAGGCAGGGGCTGTTTCATTTTTGTCTTTGGATTCCCAGGGTCCAGTACAGTGCCAGGCTGTACACAGTAGGTTCTCAATTAATGCTTGATAAGTTAAAATGAAGGTCTAGTGTACATATTGGCAACATATTTACCTAATTTAAGCAATGTAGCCAAGGCATTTTCTTCATCAGTCAGTAAGCATTTATTAAGCACTTTCTGTGTACCAGGTTGGTACACAGTAAGTGCCAGGGATACAAAGACAGGCAAAAACCTCTGCCTTCCAGGCAGTTATGTTATAATGGGGAGACAACATGCAAATAACTAGGTACATACAAGACATGGACAGTGTAAATGAAAGCTGTCCTAGAGGGAATGGCTAACAATGGGGCAGGGGTGGGGAAGGAGAGATGGGAAAGACCTCCTGCAGAAAGTCAAATTTGAGCTGAGTCTTGAGGAAAACTGGGGAATTCGGGTTAGGGAATGGTGGGGTTAGAGCAGGAGGTGTGAGAACAGTTCTCCTTCCTTTCCTTTTTCCTATTTGAGTAACTATGGAAAATAAAAGTGTCACCCCAAGAGATATGAACCGGAGAGCAATGGGTGGGGTTGGTATCTGGAGCCAGATTGGCACAAAGGGAAAAAAAAGGTAACTGGCCAAGGGACCTGCAGAAAGTGAGCTGTGATAGCCAGCAGAAGAGAGATCTTTTGGGAGATATTTCTCTGCCGCCATCTTGCTTTAGGGAGATGACATTAAAATACTGGTGGGTAATGTGATGGAAGGGGTCCTACAGAGCTATATAGAATGGCTTGGGGAAGAAGAGAGATCCCTGGAGAGATTCCCAACCTGTGCTCACTCTCCCTCTTCAAGAAGCAGAGAGCCAAGAGCCATTCCAGACTAGGGAGCCATTGTCCTTGGTTGGGACTGTCAGTAAGCAGGGATTTGCATACATCTTTGGGACTAGTTGTTTTTAATAAAACCCTGGAATATTGTGAATTGCATGCTGGTCAGTAGGGAGTCAGTCTCTGTATCCTCATAGGTGCCAAACATTTATTGTCCCAGGGTTCCAGAGTGGGAGAGGGCCCTGAGGGAAGAGAGTAGGGTGACCATCACAGTATACCCCGACCTTTTGGGTCATGAGAAACTCCATGAAATGAAGGTAGCATTGGAAGTATAGTGTTGTAACCTGAGTTGGTCTGAACCCAGTGTGCGTCAGTGAGCACCCAAATCGTTCCTAATGCAGGCAGAATTTGGTCTTTAAAAACGTGAGGATGCACCAATGTAAGCTGTGCTTCCTGGTCTATCTTTCCATCTTAGCAGCAGCACAGGTCTCTCCTGACTCACAGAGGAGCCAACCCCCTTTCCGACCCCCGCACCTCCTCTCCCCTGCTGGCCTGGGATTCCAGTCACCATGGGTGACATAAAACATGTGCCTTGAGCCCTGACTCTAAGCCCACCTGCCTTGAAGACTCAGTCCAGGTGCCACTTCCCACAGGAAGACTTTCCTGGCTGCCTCGCCCCCATCCTCCACCTTCTGGAGCCTTCCCGGCTGTTACCTTCCATCTCCTCTGGATCTTGTATCTACCCATTTATAGTAAAAGTAGAAGCGTCTTGAAGACAGGACTGTGGTTTTTGTTTTCCTCTGTGTCCTCAGGACCCAGCACGATGCATGACACATTGTGGGCACTTAGTGAATGCCCATGATTGGCCTCAGCCTGGGCACCCTGTGCCATTCGTTGGCTCTGATGGCGATATGGTCCCTCACCTGAAGCAGCCGCCGGTCGCGTTCGGCAGCTGCCAGTGCCTTGTGGAGCTGGGCCACATCCTCCTGGAGGCTGCAGGAACCACTGGTAGCATTCGCCAGGGCCTGGGTGAGGCTCTGCACACGCTCCTCGAGGTGCCTCTCTGCCTCCTCGGTCCTGGCCAGCTCGTGCCTCAGATGGTTGACCTCCTGCTGCCGGGAGGCCAGTCTGGCCGTGCTCTCCTCCAGCTGGGCCCCGAGGCCCTGCACCTGCTCCCGGTAGGCCTGGACCTCTACTTCCCGGGTGCTCAGACTACTCTGGGCCCGCTGAAGATGCTCTTGGGTGGTCTGGTGACTCAGCTCCAGCTTGGTGGCCCGGCACTCGGAGGCCTCCAGGGCTTCCTTGAGTTTCCATTTTTCTGAGTCCAGCTTAGCCTCTTTGGCCTTCAGTCTGCTGACCTTCTCCTGGGAGGTAAAGAGAGTCACAGTAAAGAGGCCTTTCAAGCCTGCATGGGCCCCGGGCTCCTGGCAGGCGCTTGCCAGCCCTCCCCCTCACTCCTTCCTGACCTAGGATCTGCTGGCAGACTCAGGCTCCTGTCTCCTATGCCTGGAGGTGCAGGCAGAGCAGAGGCCGCTGAAGGGGAGACATGGCACCCAGAAGCACTGATGCCCTAGAGACAGAGCATAAGACCCTCAAGCAGAAGGAATTGAGCCCAAGCTCCTCATTTTCCCAGTGAGGAGACTGTGGCCCAAATAGGGATGAACCCATGTTCACAGAATCACCGGGCTGGAAGGCACCCACCTGGACAGGAATCCTCCTTCCACCTTACCTGGCAAGCCATGATGCAGCCTGTGCCTAAAGGCAGTGGGGGAGAGAGAGCCCATGCTCCTTCCCGAGGCAGCCTGGCTCATTTTGGGACAGCTCGAGTTGTCTTGCATGAAGCATTAATCTGCTTCTCTGCTCTGCAGGAGGCAGTGTGGTAGAGCAGAAAGAGTGTAGGGCCTGGGTTCGAATCTGGCCTCTGATGTCCCCAGCAATATCATTGTGGGCAAGTCACGTCACCAAGGCCTTGGTTTCCTTACCTCCAAAATGACTGATAGCCTCTGAGAGTCCTTCCAGCCCTACATCTGTGATCTATAGTCTGGGAATTTCAACCCCTCACCCCTGGGGCAGCCTCTGAGATCAGGCAGAGCAAGTCCATGATGCAATGGGAGAAATGGATGGCCCCGAGCAACCGTGCTGGACATGAGGACACCAAGTCCTGCCCTCAAAGAGTCTACTTTCTAACGGGGCGCACACCCTATCAATAAGGAGACGCCTACGAGACAGGTCCCAAGTAGACAGAAGGCAACCCAAGGGAGGAAGTGTCAGTGGCTTGAAAGCTGGGGAAAGGCCTCTTAGACAAGGCTGTAGAGCTGAGTCTTGAAGGAAGCGAGGAGAACCAGGAGGCGGACGTGTAGCAGACCACGTTGCCGTCTGGTGTTTCCTCCATCTGCTTCACAAACACATGAGCACTGGGCTCGGGGGCTGCCTTGGCAGTATTTTGATCCACTGCACTAACTGTCAGCACTGGGAGAAATGCCCTGGCACTTTGAGTAGGTTAGGGGGTTCCCCCCTGCCATGGAATCCCAGCTTTCCTGATTACTCCTATCTCCTTTATCACTAAGGTCTCTTGTAGGTTTAAACCTTGTTATCCTAACTGAGATAATAACTTATCCATTAGAGTATGCCAAGACCGGATGAATCTGAGCAGGGGAGTAAAGAACTTGGATAACAACAGTACCAGGACCTGCTGCATTAAGGCTGTCTGCTGACTGACCTTCTTGTGGCCCATGACCAGCCTCAAGTAACCAGTCGGCCAACCAGCATTTATAAAGTGCCTGCGAGTAAATGAATGAGAAGAAGGAAGTGGATTGGTAAAGCAGAAAACAGGCTTAATTTGGAGTCCTAGGACCAGAGTTCAGATCCTACCTCCCCTTACTGCCTGGATGACCTGGGCCTCACTTTCTTTGTAAAATGAGGGGGTTTGACCAGACAACCTCCACGGTCCCTCCTAGCTCTGACTCTGTGATGCCATAAGCTTATAATTATGTGTATTTGAAAAGGCTCCAGGCATATTCCAGGTCAAAGATCGCTGGCTGGAAGGAACCTGAGAAGGCATTTTATTCAACTCTTCGTGTTAAAGATGGGAAACAGGCTCAGGGAATGGGAGCCCAGGGTCACCCATCCTATCAGACCTCTGGAGTTGGAAGGGATCTCAGAGGTCATCTATCTAGCCCATCCCCCTCCTTGTACAAAGGAGGAAATGGAAGCCTCGAGAGGGATGTAACTTGCCCAGGGTCACACGGAGCAGCACAGCTGGTATCTGCAGGTGACAGGAAGTCAAGCTTAGATTCAAATCCTCCTCTTTTAACTTCACCACATTCAGGGTTCTTCCCCCTGCCCCACCCTTTCACTGAGGACTTTCACTGGGTTGGGATTTCTGGGGCAGCAATAGCTGATGGTTACACAGTTTACAAAGGTTACATAGTTACAAGGTTCATAAAGCGCTTGAGGTGCATTGTTTCACTTGCTCCAAGACTGGGATAGCCCCAGGAAGTATGTTCTCCAGTGATCATTACCCCCATTTTACATAGGAGCAAAGTGAAACTCAGATAAAGGGTCTTGACTATAGTCCTAAGGCCAGGGAACTAGTAAGATGCCAGGAGCTTCTGCCCTGTGTCTAAGAGTATAGGCGCTGTATTTAACACTGATTGAATTGCTTCACCTCCTTGCCCTGTCCGCCTCCAATTGGAATCAATACCTCCTCTGTTCTGACTTACTCCGAGGTGAAAAACAGCCATTCCTGCACCTCCGTCCCGCAGCTGGCCCCACTACCAATATTACCAGGAAAGGTAGAAAAGGAGAGTCACATCATAGCATGCCATAGATGCTGACACCTTGAAGGAACCTGAAAGATCTATTTTAATACCCTCAATTTACATACGAGGAAACTGAATCCTAGGGAGGCAAAGTTCCTGTTGAGAAACCCCTCAGTTCTTTCATCATGGTCCAGTTCTGCTGGGCAACATTACCACTCCAAGAAAGCCAGGAAGTGAGATCAGTGGAAACACTACTTCTTATTCTAAGAAAATACGTATCTTTTATAATTACCGCTGAAGGCATGAGCAGAGTTGAATTCATGGTAGCACTTTTAAGCTTTGCAGAATACTTTATCAGTATTATATCATTTGATCCCGACAATAAGACTGTGAAGAGTAAGTCCCCATGTGAAGGAAAATTATCTAAAGAAACTAATATGAATCCACACGGAACTCACTGGCTACTTACATTAAAAAAAAAAAAAGAAAAGAAAAAGAAAACACACTGCTGGGGGAAGGATGCCGGGGAAAACTCAAAAGCATTCTGGCAGGAAATAGGTTTAGACCAGCTCTTACACCACACACCACAAATGAAAAAGTGATTTGAATTTGAAAGGTCATGCCACAAAAAATTTAGAGATCAGAAAGTGGTACTTTTCAGAATTATAGTTGGAGAAGAGTTCATAACCAAATGAGGTTTTTATAAAAAAGGACAAAACAAGTAATGTCAATAATATAATGGAAATACTTTCTTAAGATAAAAATTAAGGCAACTAGAATAATAAGAAAAGCTATTAAGTGGTGAAATTTTTCACACTGAATTTCCTAGTTAAGAGATTGTTAGCCAAGATATACAAGGGAACAAAAATATGAAGTCGTGCTCTTAAGGACATAAACCATTTTCAGAAGAATTGCCAACTTCTAAATACCCATAGGAAAGAAGGTTTCAGATAATGAATCCTGAGGGAAATACTAATTAAAAGAGCTCCAAAGTCACTTCCTATCCGTCCAATTGATAAAAATGACAAAAGAAGTTGGAAGTGTTGGGAGGGCTCCAGAAAGATAAAGCACCACTACTACCCTTTTGGTGGGATTGCTATTAGGTCTGACCATTTCGTAAAACATTTTGAATTATGGTGACAAAAATTAATTAAACTGTTCAAACCTTCTGATCGTAGACTGAGTAAATGCTCTAAGGAATTTAAAGACAGAAAGGATGATCCTATGCATTACAAAATATTTATTGTGGGGGCAAAAAAGTGGAACCAGAGTGGGTACCCATTGATTGAGGATTAGCTATGGAATAGTAATGGAATGGAATGTGAAAGAACCACGTGAGACATTTAGCAAAATGCTGAAATCCTTGTGTGAATGGATGCAGAGCAGAAAGAGCAGGACCAGGAGAGTCATCATTATGACCACAGTGATTTCTGGACTATTGTGTTCTCTTCTAGGCACCACAGTTTCTGGCGAACCTTGTTAAGTGGCAAGAAGATGTAGTAGTTAGGGCTTGGAGTCAGGATGGACTGGGTTCAAATCCCATCTCAGATATTTATTAGATGTATGATTCTGAGCAAGTCACTTCACTTCTCTGAGCCTCAGTTTCCTGATCTGTCAAATGAGAGGTTGGCCTTGATGGCCTCGAGGGTCCGTTCTGGCTCTAAATCTATGCTCCACTGATCCATGAAGCAGCAAAGTGTCCCAAGGAGGGTGATCGAGATGGTGAAAAGCCTCATGATCTGCTCCACAAGTAGGGGCTGAAAAAACTGGGGATGTTTAGCCTGGGGAAGCGTCCTTGGAGGGGCATTACAGCTCATGCACGTGCTCAATCATCAAGAAGAATCAGATTTGCTCTGCTTAGCCTCAAGGGGCAGAACTGAGAATAACCAAAGTCGCCGGGAGGCAAATTTAGGCTTGAGGTCAGGAAAACCTGACTCACGTGAGAGCTGTCCAAAGTGGAATGGGCCTCCTCAGGAGGTCGGCAGGCACCCCCTCTGCCAGCACCCCTCCCCCTCCCAGACACTTCCTCTGCCAACACCCCCTCTGCCAGCGCCCCTCCACCTCCCAGACACTTCCTCTGCCGGCACCCCTCCCCCTCCCAGACACCCCTTCTGCCGGCACCCTCCCCCCTCCAATCTCACTGGGACTCTTCAAACAAAGCCTGAATGACTGATTGCTTGCCAGGTCTGCTGGAGAGGGGATTCCTGTTCAGGTGTGGGTTGAACTACATGGTTGTCGAGGTTCCCGCCAACTCCAGGATTTTGTGGTAGATAGATATTAAAGGGATTACTCCTGATATTTCACAAAAAGGAAACTGAGGCGCCAAGTCCCGGGCTCTTATCACTACACCATGCTGCCTACCCTAGGGAGAGCCATAAATGTCTTTGACTGGATTATCTCGGTCCCCTCTCCTGTGATTAGGTGACCTCAGTGCATCTCGGGGTGGGGAGGGGGGTAAGAGGGAACAGGCCACCTCCTCGTCCTTGTCTACCCATTGTGTGACTGAGCTGGCCTGGCGCTGGGCCCCGTGTGCGGCAAGGATACCCAGCATGCTCCGACGTGTCTCACGGCACGCGGGCAGCCCTGTCTGTGCTCTTATGTTTGGGGAGCGCTGTGCCCAATTTGACATCCCCGGGCTTGTTTCTGTATTGTTCGTTGATTTAATTCCCAGGGTAGCCCTGGAAACGCGGAGAGATTTACTTTCAAACAAGAATTTGACTGTTTGCGTAGCGCAGCCTCTCATTTAATTAGAGAAATATGTTTTTAATTAACTTTCCCTTGACAAATACCCTGACTTATATGGGGGGGGGGAGGAGAAATCGGTTTGCGAAACTGAAGGAAGTTGTGGAAAACCCAGAATTTCTTTTAAAAAGCTCTAGAGAACCCCAAGAGCAGCCAGAGACCCTCATTCTTGGCAGCCTCGACGTTCATTCCTGGTGAAGTGGGCACAGCAAAGCAAAGAAAGGGCAAAGAAGTCTCCTGGAGTCATGGATCTGGGTTACCAAAAATATGAATTATTTGATTTTTATAAAAGAATAGAAAAATTGGGGGCCACAAAGACCAATTAGTCTAAATCCTCTCAATTTCCAAATGAGGAAACTGAGTCCCAGAGTATGAAGCCACTTGTCCTAGGTCACTTAGGGGGTGAGAAGCAGGGCTGGAACTAGAATCCAGATCTCCTGGCTTCTCTTGGAGGATAGATCACGTGGCCTCCATCCCTCTCCATTCCTCCCAATTTGCCTTTTGTCAAAAGGAGTGCTGCTATGTGTCAAGGCCCAGCCTGGCTTCTGCTGCTGGTCGGGGGTGGAAGGGAAAAACTGGTGTGTTGTCTGGGGTTGGAGTCAGAGTTGTGGTCTAGGCAGGAAGTTCTGAGAGGGGATCATGAGGAAGAGGTGTCACAGAGGACGGGTGTTTACCAAGTCAAGGCAGAGTCTTCCATTTTGGATTCAGGCCATAGAACACAGAAAGGCAAATGTCACATCTCTGTGCTGTGTCACAGTAGAGAAAAGACCTTTGTTTGCTCAAGGATGTCTGCGATCCATGTGGAAGAAAGACACCCGTTTCTCTTGCTGATCATGGTCTAGCCTTGATGTTTGCTTTCCTGGATGCAAAATGAGTGAACTGCCAGCAGATGCTGGGGGATTCCTTGCTGGGTGTGACATGGTTGCTTTTAGCTGTGGGGTGGAGTTGGTGACCGCTGACGTGTCTTCTAGCTCTCCAGATCTGTAATGGGTTTGGTGGACAGCACTTGAATGCAATGGAGGCTAGGGCCCTGAAGCCATCTTGGGAGGCAGGGCACGTGGTGAAGAGAGCTCTGGCCTGAGGTTCAAATCCCGGTTCTGCCCACTCGCTCAATATCTGTGTGACACTGGACAAACCTCCTTGGGCCTCCATGTCCTCCTTTGTAAAAGGAGAGACTGGAAAAAGCTTCCAGCTGGAGATCCACAGTCTCCGAATTCTCTTCAAGGAGAAGCTGACCTTCACTTGTCAGGTTTCTCCTAGGAAGATTCCCGTTCAGGTAGTTTGGATTAAGATGAACACGGGACGTGGAGATGCAGACCAGGCCCTGGTACCTAGGAGGACCTTCACCAGTGATTGTGGAGTTGGGTGGAATCTGGGCCAGCCCCTTTGTTTCACGGATGAGGAAGCTGAAACTCAGGGGGGAAGGGATTTGCTCACGTTCACCTAGGGAGGAAGCAGTGGCACTGGAAGCCTCTGCCTACAAGCCTATTGTTCTAACCACTACACCACTCTTCCTCCTGTGGGCCACTCCGAGATTCTGTCAGATCGGCGGTGCGGTGCACTGAGATCCCTGGTGATCTACCTCTCTTCCTCCAGTGACCTGGAAAACTTTCTTTTGAGGTTCAGGGCCTAGCTTTCTGTTTGATTTTTGTTTTTGTTTTAGGCAATTGGGGTTAAGTGACTTGCCCAGGGTCACACAGCTAGTAGGTGTCAAGTGTTTGGTCTGAGGCCAGATTTGAACTCAGGTCCTCCTGACTTCAGGGCCGGTGCTCTATCCCCTGCACCACCTAGCTGCCCCCCAGGGCCTAGATTTCTAATAGAGATTGGCCTCAGTTGCTCAGAAGGCACCTAGGGGCTAGAGCAAGCTTTCCTCTCATATGGCTAATGCTCCCACATTCATGGAAAGGCAGAACACTTGGTTCCAGGTGCCAGAGAATGTCTGGGCTCAGCTTCTCCTGCCCCAGCCCCACGAGGGCCCCACCCACCTGCAGGCTTCTTTTCTCTTCCTCACTGGTGTGGAGGCTGTGTTCCAGCACTGACACCTGCTCTGAGCACTCCTGACGCTCCCTTTCCACCTGCCGGATGGTCTCCTCTTGCAGCATCAAGGCAGCTTGAGCGCTGTTGAGGCGCCCGTTGGCCCCTCTCTTGCCTGTTTTGTGGCAGAGAAGGAGGAATGCTGAACCCTCATCCCAACACCACCCTCCCCCCCAACTCTCTTGTGTTTGTAAGATTCTTGACTCCCTAGAAAGCCCGGGGATGAGACGCAGGGATGAGGCCTGGCCACAGAGTCTCCCACTGTTCCAGAGACTTTCTATACTTTGCATTCTGTAGGGGTAAACAATATGTACACAGATAAGCTAATGCAAGGTCATTTGAGGGGGAAGAGAGAACAACTACTGGGCAGGATCCAGGAAAGAGTTTTGCATTGATCAGATGGCCCCTGAGCTGAGCTAGGAGGAAGCTCGGAATTCTAGGGGGCAATGGTGAGGAGGAGGGGCATTCCAGGCATGGGGACAGTCTCTGCAAGGGCAAGGAGTCTGGAGACACCCCATTGAGCTTGGATAGCAGCAAGCTAGCCAGCCTTTTTTTTTTAAAAAAGAAAAAGAACCATGAATGAAGGTTCCAAATGACACTGTGTATCACTCAGCCAAGCACTGATTAAGCACCTACTGTATTCCAGGCACCATAGGAGAAACAAAGGCAGAAATGAAACAATCCCTGCCCTTCAGGAATTGCGTTCTACACCTCAACACCTCAACACCTCAAACACACCTCAAACGACTCATTCTGCCCTCTCCCTTCATCTTGCCCCAAGCCTTCTCCTTCTCCAGTTACCCTGTTTGTTGAGAGATCACTGTGCCCATTGCATACACTCATCTGTCATTGTGGAGTCATCCTTGAACCTTTCTTCTCTACACCCCCAACAGTTGCCAAGGCCTGATGATCCTCTCTTTAGAAGATCTCTAGTATTCTTCCCCTTTTCTGCACTCACATGATCACTCCCTTAGTTCAGGCGCTTGCCTGGAGTATTGCAAGAGTCTCCTAATCAATCTCCTTGCCTTATCGGTCCCCTTTCCAAAGGAGCCAGCACACAGCTGCCAAAACCCTAAGATATGGCTCTGATCATGTCACTTCCTTGCTCAGGAATTCTTTAGCAGTTCCACATTTCCTCTCTCTCTCTCTCTCTCTCTCTCTCTATCTCCTGCATTACTTCTGGGAAGCAAAGAACTCAGGAAAATATTAGGAAGATTTTCATTTCTTCTTTTTTCCTTTCTTTCAAAGCTGGCTAACTTGCTGCTATCCAAGTTCAATGAGGTATCTCCAGACTCCTTGCCCTTGCAGTGACGGTCCCCATGCCTGGAATGCCCCTTTTCCTCACCATTGTCCTCTAGAATTCCGAGCTTCCTTCTAGCTCAGCAAAGGGGCCATCTGATTTATGCAAAATCTTTCCTGGATCCTGCCCAGTAGTTCTCTCTTCCCCCTCAAATGACCTTGTATTCGCTTACATATGTACATATTATTTATCCCTAGAGAATGCAAGCTCCCTGAGGGCAGGGACTGCTTGATTTTTGCCTTCCTAACCCCAATGCTCAATATAATGTCTTACATGTAACCAGCATCTACTACAGTTTTTGAATTACATTGAATATATCAGTGAAGTGTTGGCAATTCTAGGACTGCCTCATGTCCCCTAAGGTCATGGAAACAAGTTTTATAATACCTTTTTTAGAGGTGGGCTAGTGACAGAATCTCATCTTTTCGGGGGTGACAAACCTCTCTTTTCTTGAAGGGTTTCTGTACCCCTGTTCTTGGTTCAAAGAAAAGCAAACTTGGGGCCTCCTGCCCAAGAGGATCATTAAAGTAAGTCCTGCCCTGCATGTCAGCCCCTGCTCCCAAACTATGGCAGGCTGAGCAGAGAGGGCCCCCCTGGGCTCCCTGGTTTCCAGCTCAAAGACTGCCTTCTTTTCCCATCTGTTTGCTCCTCGGCTCTCCTGCTGCCCCATCCACAATATGCTTTGCAATAAATCTTGCTTTTTTTTGCAGCAGATGAAACCATGAATTAGGTCTCTGGAGGAGAGAGATGAATGAATGACTGGCCTTCCTCAGCATCTGCCAGAGACTTTTGCAGCTGCAGAATTCGAGTTTTGCTCTGGTCAAGGTCAGCCTTCAATTCGTTCAGCTGACAGTTCAGGTTCACTACCTGGATCTGGGAGTCATCCTGGGAAGAAAGAAAGACATGTTTTCAAAAGCAGAGGATAAGGGCAGAGGGAGAAGAAGAAACTGTTGGAATTCCATCTTCCAGGCTCAATGGAAGCATAATGACAAAGACAGGATCTTAGATGGTGAGAGAGGGGACTGGAATGGGAGCCAGAAACCTGGGTTCAAATCCTGCTCCTGTAACTTCCTGGATTCTTGGTCCTGGGCAAGCCACTTAACAAATCCGGTCTCAGTGTCACAGAATAACAGAGTGTGAAGGTTGAAAGGGAATATGGTGGCCATTTAGTTCAAATTGTACACAAAGGGAATTTCCCTGATTGCACAGCTTTGAAAAGTAGTTATATACTTCTCTATGAAAACATCCCGGGAGAGAGAACCCTGTCCTTCTAGAGCCAGTGCATCCCACTTCTGGACAGCTTTGGAGTATGAGGAAACTGTTCTCCACATCAAACTGAGATTGACCCCTTTGCAGCTTCTCCTTCTGGCTCTCTGCCCTCTGAGGTCAAAGAGAACTCATCAGATCTTTCTGTACACGATAGACCTTTAAATTATTTTTTTTTTAGAATTTTTTTATTTTTAACATGTAGACCTTTAAATTCTTGAAGATAGTTATCAACTACCGCCCATCCCCCCTTCACTTCTCTATTTTAATCACACTTGGTTCCTTCAGCCAATTCTCACATGACATTAATTTTAAGGCCTTTCATCATCCTGGTTGTCCTTCTCTGGGTACTCCCTAGAATTAATCACAATCCCCCAGAAGAGGTCTGACAAGGCCAGGGTCCAGTGGGACTCCAGCCTCCCTATTCCTGGAAGTGAAGACTTCTCTGGCGTAGCCCACATCCTAGGGCAGACACATCTTGTGTTTGTGGTCCCCTAAAACTCCCAGATCTTTTTCAGAACACCAGCTATCTACTTAGGCCTCCCCCACATTGAACTTGGGAAATGGGTCATTTTGTGCCCAAGTATAAGACTTTTCATTGATCCCTATTGAATTTCATCTTATTCGGTTCAAGCCAATGTTCTCACCTGTCAAACCCTGATAGATTCTGAAATTTCATCCACTGTGTTTGCCACCTCTCCCATCTTTGGCTCACCTAAAAATCTGATGAGCACGCCAACAGTGCTTGTGCCCAAGTCTTTGTTAAAAATGCTGTACAGCATAGGGTGAGGCATAGGTCCCTGAGGGACTCCACTGGAGACCTCCTGCCATGATGAGACTGAGCCATTAACAACTGCTCTTTGAATCTGGCCATGCAGGTGGTTCTAAAACCATCTATTGAATTACTGTCTAATCCATATCCCTCCATCTTCTCCACAGGAAAAATAGGAGACACTTTGCTAAAAGCTCTGATAAAATATAAGTAAACTATGTCCACAGCACCTACTAGTTTAATCATCCTGTCAAAAAAAAGAAATGAGGTTAATTTGGCATGATCTGTTCTTGAAGGAGCCTGGCTGGCTCTTTGTAAGCATGGCTTCCCTTTCTAGATGTTTACCAACCATCTTTTTCATGATTTATCCTAGAATTGTCCAAGGAATCAAAACTAAGTTCATTGAGTTAGAGTCTGCAAACTCTATTATTTCTATCCTTACATGTAGAATGAGGAAGTTGAACTAGATGACCTCTAAGGGTCCTTTCAGCTCTAAATCTATGAGAAGTGGAATTTGAACCCAGAGTCAGCACCTTTGCCTGTATACCATGCTAAGTGGAAATAGACATAACTATAGTTTCAGACTGAATGCAATGTCATCATTGACTGGTTAGATCAAAGGTCAAAGTAAATGCTAAATTAGAGGGATAAAGATGAGAAGACACTGCCTGAGATTACTTTACCTCTGACCTAACCTGTTTAAACAAACTATTGCTACTTCAAATCACAAAATGGATAAAAGGAAACACATTGACTCTGGTTCTCACTATTCTTTGGAAAAGTTCAACCAATACAGAATCGTTGCCACATCAAGGAGACCAAATGAACCTAGAAACCACCTCAGTAAACACTTGAGCTCCTTACCAAACAAAGAGGAGTAGTAGCTGAGGATAACATTGGCTTAGAGTCATATAGTCTCCCAGTGATGCCATGAAGTGGAGAATTATGGAACACCATTGTTTTTGATGAATCAAAATTATAAGTAACTGAAAAGAAACTGAAAAGGGAAAGATACATGTTGAGAGCAAGCAAAGTGCCACATCTTACCACAGATAACTTACTCGAGAAAAGTGACATAAAGGACACCATAAAGAACATGTATGACTAGAAAGGAAATTGGCCAATTGTAGCCAGAATGAGAGATAAGGAAAGTCAGCCTGAGCACCATACTGGTATCCTTCAAATGTTAACAGAACTGGGGAAGGTATCTTGTACACTGGGTGGGTTTTCTTTGGAGGACTTTGTCAAGGAATCAAGAGTCATATGTAGAGAGAAGGCATATAGAGGTTCCCATTTGCTCTGGTGGAAGGTTGAGTGCCTGTAATGATAAGATCACAAATCCAACTCTTCATCTAATTCTATCTATATCTATCTATAAAGATAACTTAAAATGAGGATGCAGGAATAATATGAGAGATAGTGTATAGTGGTAGATGGTAGATCCAACCTTGGAATCAAGAAGCCCCGAGTTGAAATTCTGCTTTGGCCACATTATTAACCACGTGGCAATTCTCTCTCTAAGAGGTGTTAGTGTGTCTTGCTGGTGGGGTTACCTGTACCAATATAATCATAGATCTGGACCAAAAAGAGTTGGACAAATAAAATAGGACCATATACTTCAGGACTTCAACATCCATGGTTTCATGGTGGGCATTTCCTTCAGATGCAGACTACTGCCCCTCTTTCTCTTAGTCAATGGTCTTCGAGAGTTGCTGTGGCTGAGAAATCTATCCCCATCCTGCCCACCTGGGAGTGATTCTCTGAACCTTGGCTGCCCTTCAGACCCAGTCCATCACCAGGTCTACACTCAAAGCATTTCTAGCCCAGCAGAACCTGCCAGAGCTTGCTCTCTGATCTGGCATAGATGTTAAAAACCCAGGGTCATGAAGAGGCCTTGAAAAAAGGCCCCAGTGGAGGACAAGGCGCCATAGGGAAGGTGCCAAAGGAGTGGTGCAGACAATACATGGTAGAGGAGGTTCAGAGGAGGGGAATCTCCTTGGGGCCTGTATGGTCAGGAGAGGCTTCCTGAGAACAAAGGAGGAGCTTAAAAGAGAAGAATTTCAACAGGTTGAGATGTGGATGGATTACATTCCAGGCCAATTCAAGGTGGTAGAAGAATGAAGAATCAGGCTGGGGAATGCTAGGAGTCCAGCCTGTCTAGAATATAGAGCCTGTGAAAGGGTTAGCAAATGGGTGTTGGTCTGCTAAAGGCATGTAAGGTTAGGCTCAAAAAGTAGCTGGGAGCCAGATGAGGAAGGGCCTTCCATGCCAAGCCAAATCATTTGTATCTTATCCCAGAGACATGAGGGAGTCGCTAAAAGTTTGTTTGTTGATGTTGTTTTAAGCAGGAGAATGACATGCTAAGACCTGTGCCCTATTTTGGCACAAGATTCTTTTGGCAGCTATGGGGAAGATAGGTTGGAAAGGGGAGAAAATGTGAGGCAGGGAGATAGCAATAATCCAAGGAAAGGGTGACAAGGGTCTGAACCAGGGTGAGGGATGAGACAGGGGCAGGTCCAAGAGATTCTGTGATGGCCCAGCACAAGTCAGCTCCATTTGGGGAGTAGGGAATGAATGTTGGGGGGAAGGTACAGGAGACCAAAGAATTTAAATCACCCCAAGCCTGGGAGGATGGTGCTGCCCTCAAGAGAAATATGGAATTGAGGAGGAAGAGTAGGGAGTTTTTGTTTTTGTTTTTGGTGGTGGTAGTGGCGGCGGAAGGGGAAAGTGACGGATTTGGACATGTGAAGTCTGAGGTGTAAGAATACATTTAGGTGGAGACATTCAGCAGGCAGATGGAAATAGTAAGACTGGAGCTCAGTGGAGAGGTTGGAGCAGTAATCTGATCTGGGAGGGATTCAAATACATACCCCTTGATCACCTTACAATGTGGAATTCGAATGAACAAGTCAGATGAATCAGTAGCAGGAAGAGGGAAGGATGATCACCCCATGTAGACTCCATATAGGGCACTAGACTCCTAAACTCTTCTACAGCTATAAGTGACGGTAGCAGACTCCGTTGCCAAGGGAGAACATGCAGAGAGAGAAGAGAACCTAGGACAGAGCTTGGGTGGAATCCACACTTGGCAAAAGTCAATCAGTCATGGAGTAAGAATGAGAGACAACCCAAGGACAGTTCCAATGCTGTCCACATTGAAGGTTGTGAAGAGGAAGACAAAAAGCAAATGAGAGGACAGAAAGGCAGGAAGGGAGAACAGAATGTTCCAGAAGGCAAGAGGGGAGAGGAGAAAAAGAGGGGAGAGGAGAAAAAGAGGGAAGAGGCGGTCAATAGCATCCAATATTGCTAAGAAGTCAAAGGTCGTTGGATTTGTGAACTAGAACGTTGGAAGTGATGTGACCTCTGAGGACCCTTTGAGCTTTACATCCATAATCCCATGGTCACGGAGACAGTAGGTTTGGCAGAGTGGTGGAAACAGACCTCAGATCACAGGGGGTGATGAGGGAAAAAAATGTCTTTCTACGAGTCTAGCATTAAAGAGAAGGAAAGGGGAGATGGAACTAAGGTCGGGTGGCTTTTTTTTTAAAGACAAAGGAGACATGAACATGTTTTTAGGAAGAGGAAGAGAAGCAAGCTTGACCAGTGACACCCACGTAATTGTGTAATTTGTCTCTTCATCTTCTTTTTCAAATCCCAGACCTGTTTTTCTGCAGGACTGGTTTGCCCAAACAAAACAAAACAATTATCAACACCATAACGATGAGCCATCCGTTGTTTACAGGGAGCTGGAAAGGAAAAGGTCATTGTGTTTCCCACAGTGAAGGCTGGATGTGGAGCATGAGTTCATGAACTTAGTTTAAAATACACACACACACACACACACACA